TCATAATATACTACTATGAATGTTTACGACACTGCTCCGTAGGCAATTATGTTTTCACTACTGTGAATGTTCACATCTGAACCACTGATGTGACTGATCACATTCACTCATAACATACTATTGTGCATGTTCACAACAGTGCCACACCACTTATGTTTCTATCATCATTCACATCAGTGATTCAAATGTGAACAGTGTTCACATTCAATGATAATGTACCACTGTGAATGTTTACCACACTGCTCCGTAGGCAATTATGTTTTTACTATTGTGAATGTTCACATCTGAAGCAGTGAATGTGACTGATCACATTCACTCATAACATACTTCTGTGAATGTTCACAACAGTGCCACATCACTCACGATTCGCAGATGTGAATGTTCACATTCAATGATAATGTACTACTGGGATGTTCACAACAATGCCACTGTGATTAATGTTCACATAGGTTGCCATTACTCTGCAAATGCTAAATAACAATATGCATTTCTTGTTTTATTGAAGTACTGGTTGTGTGAGCACACAACCGTCCTCCAACCTCACAGACCCAATGCTTTTCCTCGCTGTGTGAAGTGGGATCTGACTGCTTTGCAGAAGAAGATGAAAACCATCTCTTTAGCAGATTTGGGTTTTAATGAGGTAGGGCCTTCAACTACTGATCAAAACATTCACATTATAACACCACCCAAATATATGCGTTAAGTAACATAATTTTTTCATTTTTAGGTTAATGCCGGTGAACTCTTTGTAATCCTAACAGAATTACAAAAGTTCAAGCGTAAAACATTGAAGGTGGAGCCTGAAATTTATGAACGAGGCAGAACATCTCCCAACCTTTCTGACATCAAAGGAGAACAACACAGTGGCAGCAACTCCCACTTTTCTGGGGATGGGGTAGACCTGAAGGACAGTGATGAGGACATTCACATTCCATTTAGCAGCCAACATTATAACAGCGCTATTGTAATACCAGACACAAAGCAACCTGATATCATTGATGTGCTTATCCAAGAAAATCGGAAGGCTTGGGGCGTCATAAGGCAATGGGAAGCAAAGTACAAACACCTTCAATTTTCATGGGAGTTGAGGGCAAGAGTCATAGCTGATCTTGAACATAGATTGTTTAACCAGTCCAGCCCACCCAACGTGAATATCGAAATGAAGAAGTCCATGGAGCAGAAGGATCAAGAAATCAAACGCTTAACGCAGCTGGTCATCGACTTAGAATGCGATAAAACAATTCTTCAGGATCTTTACGATGACCAGTCAGTCCACATTGTCACACAAGCTATGTCAGAAAGGCAACCCCCTAGCCCAATGCAACACAATATCAGCCCACCTTCTAGGGTCAAGCGTATAAAGGAAAAAGATCGCAAAGAACATCGCCTGCCTGACTTCCAATACCCAGACTTACCTGGCCAAAAGCAGCCCCATCCAGTCGAAATGGTTGAAGATGTGGAGAAACACCCACCAGCGAAGCAGCCAAAAAAATTATCCTTTACCAAGAAGTTCAAAGTCTGGGCCAAGATGTCCAAACATGACAAACAAAAGGTCCAAGCTTTACAAAAAAATGGAGGCGATGAGTAAGTGACTGTGCATTTGGCGTTGTACAAATTGCCATTGTAATCTGTATCATGACAAAAGGTGATCTATGTACCACGGCGAAAGGTTATCTATGCACCACGCCAATAATTATCAGTTGGTTTCCAAGAGTTATCTGTATAAGTAATACTAAACTACACAAAAGCAGATGCCGACAAAAGTATTAGTTGTATACAAAAGTGTAATTTCTACTCCATACACCAAAATGGATTATCCACAAGTCCAAGCCAAAAGCCATCTATACAAAAATAATAATAATAATAATAATAATAATAATAAATAAAATAAAATTGTTACAAAATATCAATTGATTCAGATATGGGGAAAAACTTGCATTTAGGGTAGAGCAATCTATAAACGCCTTTTTAGAAATAAAATCATATATATGTATCATGCAATATTTATTCCAACCAAACTACACAATCTATTCTGTAATTTCTTCGTCCTATAAATGTACAAAGGCAATTATCAGAATCTGTTGATGTTATTTTCATAAAGCTGTCAATCTTTAGAACTAGAGTTGGTGAGGTTTCCTTTTTATCTACATGCCCTAGTTATGGTTGTAAATTGTAGAGGCTGTAAACATATACTACATCAGACCTGCAGCTTTCCATTGTCATACTAATTTGAGGTTCTCTTTCTAAGTTTCATATTGTTATTTTCATAGATGACCAATGTGTCGCCCTTCTTGAGGAATATGCAAAGGATCCTGAGCTATTGTCTCCCAGATCTGTGAAGTTTCCTTGAGCATGCTTGAGGTTCTAATTTTTATTATTTTGGGGTGAAATGACTAAACATAATGTGTTGTGAAGTACTTCTTTATGCAGATACCTCAAGTTAAGGAACTTTCATACTAAATTCAATTCCTTGCAATCTGCAATTAGTCTGGTTATTTTATCTACCAGTCTATGAAAGAAATAATCTAGCTCCAATATGAAGATTATCTAGGTCACAAAAGTCAACGCCTTAGAGGCATACAATATGTAATTTGTTATGTCTGAGTTTGAGAGGCCAATCATCATATCATGAGGTGAACTTTTATAATGAAATAGAAAAGTTAAACATGTAGCAACACATTTTTTATTAGTTTGTCCTGTGGCACTTCTTGTACCTTTACAAAATGTAGCGGCGAGCACCCAACTTACGCGTGTTAATTACATTTTGTTTGTTGTCACAGGTCCTATTTCTCATAGGAAAGCTGTCTGTGATAGCCAAACAGTGGTTCAGAGGCTGTTTTGAGTTTTCACCCCCGAAACTCCATTTTTCGACTAAGTTGAAGGCGTTTTCTGCTCTAACTCCCAACCTATGCATGCTAATTACATTTCGTCTATTGTCACAGGTCTTATTTGTTACAGGGAAGCTGGCCATGACAGCCATACGATGGTTTGGGGGCTATTTCGAATTTTCACCATCGGAACGCCTTTTTCGACTAAGTTTAAGGCATTTTTTGCTCTAACTCCCAACCTACGTGTGATAATTGCATCACATCTATTATCAATGGTCCTCTTTGTCATAGGAAAGCTAGTCTTCATAGCCATGCAGTGGTTCGGGGGCTGTTTTGAATTTTTGTCACCAGAACGCCCTTTCTCAATTAAATTAAGGTGTTTTTGGCTCTAACTGTCAACCTACGCGTGTTAATTACATTTCGTCTGTTGTCGTAGGTCTTATTTGTTATGGGAAAGCTAGCCTGATAGCCATATGGTGATTCGGGGGCTGTTTTGAATTTTTGCCACTAGAACGCCCTTTTTCGACTAAGTTGTTTAAGGCGTTTTTGGCTCTAACTCCCAACCTACACGTGCTAATTACATTCTGTCTATTGCCACAAGTCATATTTGTCACAGGAAAGCTAGCGGTGATAGCCATACGGTGATTGATTTGGATGTTACTTTCATTAATTGGCTAGTCAGAGAATGTTTGAAGTAAGAGGGATTTTGGGGGACCAATTTGTGGTTGATTCAGATGCTATAACTTGTTTATATAGGAGGTGGAATCTGACTGGGATCCCATGTGTACATGCTGTGGCAGTAAAAATCCTTGTTATGAGGAACCAGTAGCTTTTGTGGATCATTGGTATAGAAATGATACATACTTGAGAGCATGTAACCACATTATATATCCAATCAATGGGTAAGACATGTGGCTCAAAACATGTCTTCCAAAAATTAAGCCACCAGGGTATTCTATAAAACCTGGTGTAGCTTGCTTTTCGTGCTCTTTTCGGATACGATAGCCCTACAGTTTGAACTCCCGTGATTCTGAATCTAATTTCACAAGTGCAATGTAAAACGGATAAATACAAACAGTTCAAATCTGAAAATTCTTTTGGAAAATCGATTTTGAAGCAAAAATGCCAAAAATGGACTACATTGCCAGATTACAAAGTCACCACCAAAATATTTTTGAGAAATTTAAGAAACTCATGACTCGTGCCAAAGGCCACGTGTCCGTCATCACCAAAGTGTCTCAGCTCGAGAACTTAGGTATGAGACAGAAATGTCATAATTTGAGCACCCCATTCACCCGATCAAAGATCGACCTTTACTAATCATGATGTGAGTCTTATTTACATTATATGCTCTTGTTCCGATTATTAGGCTAATTTACTATGTGATGCACACAAGTATAGACTAATTTGTAAAAGTTGGAACACTTTGATTTCATGTTTGTTTTGAAAAGTTTTTGAATGTCTCACTTTGAAAAAGTGATCTCATACGTACATTGATCAAATCATCCCAATTTAAGCAATTAGCCTTCATCCATAGGCATTCAAGAGTTATATCAATTAAGCACTTAGCCTCATGGTAAATATGCTCGATATGGAAACACTAACACTCATGCAATATGCTAAAGCAATGAATACTCACCTAGTATTCAACCGAGGCAAGCCAAAAGAAATAAAATAGTTAGAAAAATGCATGATCCTAATGATGTAGAATAACTAATGCAACACATGCAAAAAATGCAACTAATAGGTTCAATTTATTTAACATGGCATATGAATCAATTTGATAGCATGCGGTGAAACACGTATTTACATAATTAATGTACGACCATAAAGTTAGAATGATGTGCCAAAACCAATGCATGCAAAACATATGGATGCAAGTCATGGAAAATGCTAAATGAAACATGATTCTCCATGCTATCCATCATAAGCGAGTAAATAAAAGAGAAAAAAAAAAGGGGGTTGGAAGACATACACCATTATTACATATTTGCCCTCATGCAAGAGTATCACGACCCGAACCCGCTCCCATGGGTTTAGCATCGTAACCGACCAGTAATCCTGAGATTACCGAAGGCCTCTGAGACAGATTAACATAATATTAGGGGCTAGCGGAAGCAAGTAACAATATACAACGTCCATTGAGCTGTGCAGACTTATATGAAACAGAGAAATTTTAAACTTTTTATATACATATGTAGACATTATCTTTCAGTCGTCATATATACACAGATTAGACAAAAAGGACTTAATCCCATTCACAAAATACACGAAAATAAAACTTAAACTTTAAGTCACATAACAATGGTCACTTGACATATCCGGAACCTCTACGGGAGGCACATAGGTTGGCTGACAAAACAGATTCTAGGCAGAAGCCTCTAACCCTGGTCACGCGCCTGATTACCTACATACATAAATAATACTGTGAGCTAAAGCCCAGTGAATAATAACAGCGTAAAGGGGTTTAATGAATGATGACCATATTGAATGCAGAAATCAGAAAATCAATCTCTTATCAGATCGGGAACGTAGGCATATTCATATTCATATTCATATTCGTATCAGAAAAGAACTACAACCATATCCATATTCAAATCATGTGTGGTAAACTTCCCTTAGCATAACATATCATGTTGGTCAAGCATAGTAAGTCCCATAATGGAACCTCCGGTACCAGGTAACATATCTATGCTACAGTATTGTTTTTCCCGGGCGAGGGCCTGTGCCACGGTATTCTTTCCCCCGGGCAAGGGCCTGTGCCACGGTATTCTTTCTCCCGGGCGAGGGCCTCATGACCATGTGCCTCAGTATTGTGTCCCCTGGGCGAGGGCCTCGACTAGGGATACCGCGTTTACATTCCAAGGAAAATTGGACTAACATTCATTCATTCATTCAAACATAGCATTTCAGAACTTATCATCTCATGTCATTGGAATATAATTAAAGTCAAACATAACTTTACAGAGTTATTACTCACAGATGGTTGCAGAAGCAAATCAGACAGACTGCACATATCAGATAAATCAGACAGACAATGGCAGGTGACCTACACAAGCACATAACATATACACAGTCTAGAATGCCTTGGGAAGAGATGAGAATAAAAATGTGAACTAAATGAAATTTTCAAAATATGCTGAAAATAAGTCTCCGCTCGAGCGCCACTTTGGTCGCTCGAGCGGACTGTAAAATTTGAAAAACTACTGGGAGCTCGATTTTCACGCTCTAGCGAGACTTCCCTCGTTCAAGCGGACAGTGTAAATCCTGCAATTTTCAGAATTGTAATTGAAATTCAAATTTAATATTCAAAGCCCCAAAACATGTAATTGGGGTGCACAAAATGGAGAACCATCGTATGATTTAGTAAACACTTTTATTTAGAAAACATTCATTCAAAATCATGTTCCAATTGCCCAAAAGTTTTAAATCGTCTTATTAATATCAACCCACAATTCCAAAATATAAATTAAACTTCCCAACCTCTTGAAATTCCATAATGTATGCAATACAAATAGATCCAATTTTTATTATTGATAACAAAATCAACTTAACTATGAATTATGCAAATCAATTTCTTAAAAATTCAACTTAACTCAATTTCTAACCAAAACTTAATTTATAATCATGGGTGTTCTAAAATACATCTAAATTGGATAAAATTCTTAAATTACATCACATGCATGGATTAAATGAAAATCCAATTATAAAATCAAAACTTTGGGATTAGTCCCAAATTTCCATAAACTTGATTTTAGCTCCAAAATCATCATTTCCTTCTAATCCCATAAAATTGATTTCTAACTCTTTTCTATCCCCTTAAATTATGAAATTAAAATTATAAAACTCTTAGAAAGTATTTGCTTGTGTGAAATTATAATCAAAATCAAACCACCTACATCAAATCCCTTTAATTCAAAATTAAGCTCAAATGTTCATGAATTTATAATTTACCACAACTTGTTCTTCTTATATCCAAACATGAAATTAATTCTTCAAATCTCCTAAAATTTCATTGATGCATGCAAAGATGAAGCCCAATTTATGAGGACAACACAAATTAAACTTAAAATAATTAATTTCTAATTTATTTTCCATAATCATCCACATGCATGCAAGGATGGGTTTCAATTTGTAAAGAATAATAGAAATCAAGCTCTAACTAATTAATTTCCAAATATATATCCGTGATCTTAACACAACTCAAAATTTCTTCATCTTCTTACTAATTCCTATTAATTACATAATTTAGAGTCCAATTCCATCTTTAATTTCAAGTGTGATACAAGAATTCTATTACAATCAAGATTAAAATCCCTACCTTTAACTTCCCATGGCTGAATTTCTTTTTAGCTCTTTGAGTCCTCTCCTTTATCTTCACTCAGATCTCATAAATTCACTTCCCCAAAGTTCCTTACAGCATAAAAGTTGGATTCCTCTCTCTCACTCTCTTTCTCTCGGCTCCTCTCTCTCTCTGCCGTGCGTTTTCCAGCCAGCATAATCAGGTTATCATATTTTTTTGTGGACCTAATGGGTTATAACAACTCTAGAATGGATTTATCAATAAAAATTTCTTTTTTTTAATCAGATTAAAATAATAAAAAAGTCAATTAAAATAAATTCTCAAACCAACCCTATATATAAATGGAAAATTTTAATATATATCCTTTTTAAAAAGTATATCATATGTACCCCTAAATATGTATTTTTTTTTATTAGTTTTAATCAATTTTTTGTTTAATTATGATTTTGTTTTAGGTATGAATGATGAATTTTTTAATTATACCATGTATTGTTTAATTATGATTTTGTTTTAGGTATGAATGATGAATTTTTTAATTATACCATGTATTGTTTAATTATGATTTTGTTTTAGGTATGAATGATGAATTTTTTAATTATACCATGTATTGTTTAATTATGATTTTGTTTTAGGTATGAATGATGAATTTTTTAATTATACCATGTATTGTTTAATTATGATTTTGTTTTAGGTATGAATGATGAATTTTTTAATTATACCATGTATTGTTTAATTATGATTTTGTTTTAGGTATGAATGATGAATTTTTTAATTATACCATGTATTGTTTAATTATGATTTTGTTTTAGGTATGAATGATGAATTTTTTAATTATACCATGTATTGTTTAATTATGATTTTGTTTTAGGTATGAATGATGAATTTTTTAATTATACCATGTATTGTTTAATTATGATTTTGTTTTAGGTATGAATGATGAATTTTTTAATTATACCATGTATTGTTTAATTATGATTTTGTTTTAGGTATGAATGATGAATTTTTTAATTATACCATGTATTGTTTAATTATGATTTTGTTTTAGGTATGAATGATGAATTTTTTAATTATACCATGTATTGTTTAATTATGATTTTGTTTTAGGTATGAATGATGAATTTTTTAATTATACCATGTATTGTTTAATTATGATTTTGTTTTAGGTATGAATGATGAATTTTTTAATTATACCATGTATTGTTTAATTATGATTTTGTTTTAGGTATGAATGATGAATTTTTTAATTATACCATGTATTGTTTAATTATGATTTTGTTTTAGGTATGAATGATGAATTTTTTAATTATACCATGTATTGTTTAATTATGATTTTGTTTTAGGTATGAATGATAAATTTTTTAATTATACCATATATTGTATTTAGTTATGATAATTTTTTTTTTTTTTTTTTAGTAAGTTATAATTAAAAGAATTGAAGTTATACCATTTTTCCCCCCTATAAATAGAGGCTTTGGCTGTTCGCTGTGGTACCGTAGAGTTATATATTCCGTGAAATTTCCGATTGACGGAGAGAGAGAGAGAAACCCTAGCTCAGAAACCAAAAAAGAAAACCCTAACCCTAACAAGGCTTAAATAATGTCTGCGACAGGAGGTGGTGGTGGTCAGGAGGAAGACAAGAAGCCTACGGATCAGTCGGGGCATATCAATCTCAAGGTCAAAGGCCAGGTATACCCACACACACTGACATCACATCACATGTTATTTGTGTATCTTTTTGTTGATTTGTTGGATTACTTGTTTTGTCTGTTGATTGAATGATTTGGATATTGGAGCCCTGATTTTACCTAGTATATGTTTGGTTTCTGAGAAAAAAAAGTAGAGGAAAATGAGAGGATTACTAGGAATCCTGTGTAACTGTTTTGTATGCGTTGCAAAGTGCTTTTCTGTTGTTATTTCGGCTCTGATTTTTCTGCAATTAATCAGAACGCTTAAGAAGTTGTGGCTTACCTATAGTCAACTCATAAATTGTTTTGAAATTCTATGTACACACACACATATATCTTGTTTTGTTGGTAGTTTGGTGTGCACTCATTTCTCTCATGGAGGCCATTAAGTGTCTGGTTAGGTTATTGAAGTGGAGTTTGGGAATTGCTGTTTTGTTTTTTTTTTTAATTAATTTTTTTATATTATTGTTGTTGATGATAATGAACAGTTTAGTGAAATTTTTCTACAAAAAGTTTCAATTATGGGTTTTACTCGACTATGCATACTTACTTTTTTTCTTTAGAAAAAAAAAGAAAAAAAGTCCACTAAAGACGGAAAAATAATTAGAAAAGTCAATATTTTATTTTATTTTATTGTCTTTAGTGGATTGTGGAGAAGAAGGATTTATGTAGCCGACCCCGTTTGATGGGACTTAAGTGAGATTTAAGGCAAGGCTTGGTTTGGTTTGGTTTTGGTCTTGGTCTTTAGTGGATTGTTTCGTTTTTTTATTTATTATTAAAGATAATTATTTTACACTAGATGGATTGACTTGAAAACTAAGCAATTTTGGCACAAATTTTAAAATCGTTTGCTAAAAGACAATGGTGTTCGGATGGAAATGTGACTTTTTTAATTGGATTCCAAAGAGATAACTATGTCTATAGGATGCAAGCCTTTGTTTATTTGATGATGAAGGCAGAGTTGTAGAGACACTAATTTGTATTAAGAAAGAATGATTTGTTCCTAGTTGAGGTTTCTCAATATTGTTGATGTTTTTCATTTGAGGTTTTGATGGTTCTTAGAGTTGTGAATACATTAATTTGTTTTTAAAAAGAATGATTTGATCCTCCTTGAGATTTTTTCATTTGAGCCTTTGATGGTTCTTGATGTTTTCTATACTTAAATTTAAGCATCATATCGAAGAATTGAGATATTTTATTAGAATTAACTTTTTGTAATGAATTGTAATATATACCTTTTGAATATTTGAAGATTCGATTGGTAAAATTAACATTCTCAATGGATGAGAAAACTGATCTATGATGTTTCATTTACCAATAAAGGTAAGGTGAATAATATGTTTATTGCTAATGGCTTGTTTTATATGTCATGTTATGTTAAATCGTATCATAATTTTATATGCAAATGTCATTTATATCATATCTTGCTTTGTCTTATTTTCTTCTTTATACCGTTGAATTAATTGATATTTTTATTTTAGAAAAGATAAATACTTGGCAAATTTTTTGGGTTAATTACAGTTTACCCTCTTAAACTATCACTTGTATTACTTTGTGTCCTTGATCTAACAAACATTACATTTTACCCTCTAGGTGTATTGAAAATCAAAATAACACTTACAAACTCAAAATTCAGTCACTGCAAGCTTTCTCTCCTTGGCTTGAGACACTGTTGTTTTCGCTGTGAACCCCTCATATATAGATTTTAATTTTGTCAAATAAAACCTTGAATTTTTTAATTGAGTACAATTCAGACAATTTGTCTAACACTGTTAACTCATCTAACATAAAGTTTTTTTAACAGACACATGGCACTCTCTAAGTCGATCTTCCACATCCAAATTTAAACTTCACTACACCATATCATTATCACCATTTTTATCATCCATTTATCTATCAAAACCATCCACCATCACATCATCAATACCGTTAGTTTAACAATAGGATAAAACCCTACCCGTTTACCTCTTCTACCCTAACTCCAGCGCCTCTTCCCTTAAGCTTCGAATTCACGAAAGTAATTGATGTTTCAACCCAATCTAATCAAAATTTTAGTTCTCTTCTCTTTGATAATATTATTCATATTCTTTGAATTGACACCAAGAAATCAAGAGCAGGGAGGTCCATCGGGCTTCAATGAAGTGAAATGTTGCAATTCGAGATGCCATGGATTCTTTGCAGAGCTTCTCCTTAAAGTCGTCCTGTAAATGATGGTTTCAAAAATGCAGATAGTTTGTGAATTAGTTGTGTTGTGATTCAATCAAGAAAAGGAAGGGTGGAGATGGAGAGAAAGTATTTTGTTTAACAGGTATACCACATCATTTTAGCTGATGTGGAATCCCTTTCCACACAAAATGTGACATGTAGTCAAGGCCCCGATATAATCTCTTACTTAAGTGGAACAACCCATCTCGCCCTTCTTCAAAATTGTGTAGTATTCCCGACCTTTCATCTCCGTCCATGTTTGTTGCCTCTCACCTTCACCTTGGTTCTCATCATGTTGTTATTTTGTCTATCAAAACTCTCATCAATTTCTCATCAAATATCTCAAACAATCACTGCCACCAAACTCCGATCTAGCCATTTATTCCGGCGACCTTATTTTTCTTCTCATTTTATCTTCTTCAGTGAGTTCAACAAATTGAATCTGTCCCTTTTACTCTTTCTATGACAAAAACCATTAAAATTTTAAAATGATTCAAAGAGTTGGTCTTAAAATATAAAATTTCTGGAATTTATATGAAATTTTAAGGTGCAAGTTTGTGGTTGTCACTGAAAAAAAGCGGGATTTTGGTTAACAGCCAGGGGAAATGAACTGGTTTTAGCTTCAGCATTATGAAGATTTAATTTTACAAGTTTTCTACCAGATACAGTTGCTACAGAATATATTACTGGGTTTGTCATCTGGGTATTGTTGATTGAATTTGTTGAACTAGCAAAGAAGAGAAAAGGAGAAAGAAAAAAATGCTTGCTGGAATCCATGGTGTTGCCAACATTTGTGTTGGTGGTGATTGTTTGGGGTTTAGGTATATGATAAAAAGTTGATAGGAGTTCTGGTGAGAATATTAGTTGCAGGAAGAAGTATGGAGAGAGAGGAAGATAGGAGAGGTAAGAAGGATATATAAATCATTTGAACCTATTGAAGTATTTGTAGGGATTTCATACGTGGCATATTATGTGTGGAATGGGATTCCACGTGGGCTAAGAAATACATTCTTGCAGAGGGTTGGCTGGAATTTGTAAATATATATTGTTTCGTATATATGTATATTCTTTCATGTGGAAGATGGGTCATCCCTCTTCTGTTAAAATAAACTGTGTTAGACGGATGGTTTAAATTGTACTTAGTTTAAAATTGTAAAATTTAGTTATAAGTCTCTTAACATAATTGTGTAGTGTTAAAAGTAGAGATGTAAGAAAAATCGGTGGAACCATGCTAATCGATTGAAATATACTGAAATTTCAATTTTCGGTAAGTTTTTCATAACATACGGTCTGTGTTGGTTTTGAAATTTTTTATACCGATATAAATCGAACTGACCGAATATTATATTTAAATACTTTTATATTATAATTTCTTGAACATTATATGATAAGTAACTAAGATAATACACTTTTGTGATAAAAATTAGGGAGAAAAACATTTATAAAGCAATTTTCATACATTTTCTTCATATATTTTTAATTAAAAATTCCATAATCTACTATAAAATCCGTTAAAACCTGATGCAAACTTCTCTTCTACATCAAACTGATAAAATCGAATTGTAGCATACGGTCTGTATCAATTTTTCAACCATGAAAATCTAAAGGATTGGCTACGTGCTAAATATGCTCTCAACACCGATCGAACCAAACTGTTTACATCCCTAGTTAAAAGGACAAGTGAATATTTTCTAATGCATAAAGTTCTTTAAAATTTATTTATCATCGATTAAGGACATATAAACATATGCCCATTTATTTTAGATAACCTTGTCCTTTTATCTTCCATAACTTCTCTCTTCTTATTTCAACCGTCAATGTGATAATCTCTCTCTCTCTCTCTCCATATATATACTAAAAAAATATATATCATTTTTCAATATTCCAAGTTGAAAATTCTTGCAAGATTGCAAGAGATGGTTCTACAATCGAGTCGTAGAGCTTGGATGATTGCTATATTTCGAACCTTATTTGTTGTATTTCGATAATTATTTGGATCAAAACTTGCGATTGAGCCATACAAAATATGTGTATTTTGTTTGTTTCTTTGGGTGAAAGAGTGACTAATTGTTGAAGGTTTTTTCGGTGAGATTAAAGATTAAACAATGTGTATTTCGTTTGTTATGATTATTTTTTATTGATTCTGATTTGATAATGATGTTTTTGTTTGTTGTTAGATTAACTTTACTTTTGTTTGCTTTGGTAATAGGTGACTTGTGTTTTATTTGTTGATATGCTTTGTTTTAAAATGACAATAAAATTTTAATCTGGTTTGCTATGGCAGTATGTAATCAGTCTTTTGTTTGCTGATTATGTTTTAAGTTAACAGTAAAATTTTACTCTGTTAACATTATCATTTCATTGTTTTAATAATTTTTTTTAATTCAATACGTCTAGCTGTTGTGGTAACAATTATAGTACTATGGTGTTTAGTGATGATGATGGTATTTTATTATTTAAATATTAAATTTCACAGTAAAATTTACTATGAATCAGAGTAAAATTTTACTGTGAAATAGAATAAAATTTTACTGTTGACATTAATTTTGACAATAAAAATTTTGTTTTTTTTTTGTAAAAAATTTCATAACCAACATTGTTTAAGAATTTCTATGTTTGTACTTAATGCGTGAATGTTTTATTATGAGGGAGTTTTGACCAAATTCCCCAATAAAAAATCAAGGTTTTATTTGACAAAATTGAAATCTTGAGGTTTAATTTGTTAGGAGGGTCAAATCTTGTTTTTTAGTTTTCCCACAAAATTTTGGAAAATTTGTAGAAAAATGGAAAGTTGAAGAAGTAATTGCTAAAGAAGGGAGAATAAAAAAAATTGCATCTAGCATGGAGCCTTAGAAAACAATTGCAAAAGAATGGGAAAAATTACACAATTACCCCTCTCATTTTTTGCCCTCTCTCTCTCTCTCTCTCTCTCTCTCTCTCCTTCCTCTTTTCCTTCTCCATTTCCATCCATTCTAGCTAAAAACCACCTCTCCCCCACCCATCTCTGGCCATCAGCTAACTCTCTTTCTCTTTGTGCCTTCCTTTGCTGCCACCATCGTACCCAACCTCCTTCGATTACCACATCCCCCACCTTTCCCTCTGACCACTATAGTCCTCACTTCACCTTCCTTTTGTTTTCCCGCTACCATCACCGCAACCCCACTCCTCCCTTACCTTTTGATGCCAACCCTGGATCCCAGAAATCATATCGCTACCAGATTGGGCCCCTGATGACGAGACCATGACCTAGACAATCAATCTCTCTCTCTCTCTTTCTCTCTCTCTCTCATGCTTTGAAGGCTGGTGGAGGGGACCTTCAGGTTAGGGAATACAGAGGGGGTTAGGAGAGGGGAGGTGGAGGGAAAGGGGCGTTGGGATAAGGAAGGGTGGTTGGTTAGGGACTAAAGCGGGAACATTTTTTTCTTTATGGACCAAGTGAGTTATGGCCCATACTTTAGGGGAGTATAACAGTTAGAATTTTTTAAACCAAATGGGAGGGGGAGGTGGGGGAAAGGGGAGGGTTTGTAGAAAGGGGTGGAGGGGAAGAGAGGAGAGGGAGATTGAAGGGGGTTTGGTGGTGGCTGTTGCGGCAATGGTGGCGGGAGATAGGGTAGTGGCCGAGGTTTGGGGAGGAGTTTGGAATGGCGGGGATTGGGGGAGTGGTTAGGGGTAGCCAACGGCGGATGGAGAAGGTGGCTGCCACCTCTTAATTCAAATCATAATATACACAGTTTTTGGAAGAAATATTGTTACAAGTTTGTGGAAATATTTATATAATTAAAATTGAGTTTTTTGAACCAGAAAATGTGTGATAAAGCTGGGCCTACAGAATTCCAAGGGGTTGGCTTGGTGGTAACGCCATGGGTTTTGGCGGTGTGCTCCATGCAAGGGCCATGGATCGAAACCTCTTAGGTGTTAACAATTCCTTGGGGCTGTTAGACTGGAGGAAAATGTTGAATTAATTGTGGTGCACTTGTGGGAAACTCCTTGCCGAGGGCCTGTGCAACCCTGAGGATTAGTTGGGTTTTTTATTTGGACACCCCAGTGCCAATAAAAATAAATAAATAAATAAATAAAGGTGGGCCTACGGTGTTTACATGCATTGGGATCCTATGCAACCAAAACCTAAACTTCATCTTAAAGCGTCAAAATTGTTTTACAATTGTGTAGTTCACTTGAGTCAGTTTTGAAGATCTTGAACATGTTTGCAAAGAAGACAATCTGATCTAAACTGAATGGATTGAGTTACCTGGTTTAACTGCAGCAATAATTAATTCTAATTTACTCTCTCTTGGGTCATGGTTCTGAAATTGGTGCAATTAAGGAAGTGGAATGTAAACATTACATTGCTACATGAGCACCCCTTCCTAGTTCATTTCATTCTGTTTTACTGGGGCATGGTAGGTTGCGATCTTGTGACATCATTAATCTGATGAAAAGGTTTGATGCATTTATATTGATTGGACTAACTGCCCCTGGGTGCCTGTTAGTTAATCTGTTAGTGTGCACTAATACTATGGGCAAGGCTACCTACAGTAGACATACTATATGACAGTAAAATTGGCAAATCATATGGACATGTGGTCATTTTATGTGTCAGCAGTTTCCAGATCTGGATTATGGATATTGATAATAATCCCTGGACATTTACCCATTTACTAAGAACAATTGCGGGGAGTTGGTTCCAAGAATAGCACAGATTGTTCATGATTTGGCAATTTTTTTGCGCTTGGAAATTACTTTGAATATTTTTGGTTTTCCTTTGTGAGTGAGAAGCGCAATGTAGTAATTTTTTATGTAATTTCTCCTATTGACATTGGGATCTTGTTGTAATGGGGTGGGTACAGTTGTGAGATGTTTCACCATGCAATAGCATAAATATAGTATATATTTTGAAGAAACATGCGTTTGAGCAACCTAGAATGGCTAAAATTTGGAAATGTGGCATGGACAGTTTTATTTGTAATATTTAATCAGGACTTTAAACATAAATCCTACCAGAGTGTTCTAGAGTTATATTTATAATCATCATGATTAACTAAGCAATGCCCATGTTTGTGTTTTCTACCAGTAGCAAAGGGGTTTGAATGAACCAGACACTGGTGGGATATTTAGCTGTTGCATTTCTCAGAGATCATATTTTTACTCCTTTTGCTGAAGTCTCACGTGTTCTTATTTATAAATTGATTTCGTTGTTCCATTATGTTTGTGCAACTCCTGCTTGATCTTCCCCATGTGGTTATTGTCAATTGTAGGATGGGAATGAGGTGTTCTTTAGGATCAAACGTAGTACCCAGTTACGGAAGCTGATGACTGCTTACTGTGATCGACAGTCTGTGGAGTTTAACTCCATTGCGTTCTTATTTGATGGGCGCCGACTTCGAGGAGAGCAAACTCCAGATGAGGTAAATTTTGTTAGGTTACACCAAAAGGCCTTGAATCCTTTTTTTTATTGAAGCTCGCGGGCTAATAACTAAAAGTCATTGTAAGAGATCTAAAAACCTTAACTGGGGGATAGAAGTTCACATTTCCACCACTTGAACTTTAGAAAGTGTGTGCTATAAATTTGAATTTCACTATCATGGAAAGTTTAGCTTGCATGTTTTTCTTATGTATTGCAGTTTACATAAATAGCAAGTTCACTGGACTTGCATTTGACTGTCTTTTGTGATTTTTGTGTCTTTTATCAATAGCTTGAAATGGAGGAAGGTGATGAAATTGATGCTATGCTGCATCAAACTGGCGGTGGAGGTGAGCATAGAGCTGTCTAGCTCCTCCAAGGTGGCCTACATATGCATGTAAGGGGGTAAACATGGTGGGAGAATTGCCATATATTCTGAAAACTTACTTGTCTCTGGACATTACTGTCAAGAAAAATGGATTTGATGCATACCTAAAAAAGTTTCTTGGACTCAAGTTAGTTCTTTTGTTATTATGCAATGGTTACTGGATTGACTATAAATGTGTGTTTGATGTTGGTGTTTTTATTGTTGCAATTTAGAAATCTGGAATCTATTTCAGGTTCCCCCATGCCTATTGACTATGTTGAATGATATGTTATAAATCCACAGGAGTGATAATGTGGGTGATGATGATGACAGTGAGCTCTTGGATGGGCTTTATGTAGAACTCTCTGCAATGGATATTGTGCAAAATATTATTTTCCCTAGTAAAATTTTCCATTGCAACACCAATGGCCAAGAGTGGTCTATCATTGCTATATAGCAAAGAAAACAAAGCCTTCTGAGCAAAAACCAGTGTCAAGTCCTTGTAGCAAGGCACAACAAAGTACATATGGAAGTTCCTTGAGCAGACTGGTGAACAATTTTTTTTGTAGACTTGAGACTGGTGAACAATTTAAGGTGTATATAAATACTATATATATATATATATTTGTGGAGGGTTAAGATAAGGTTACCAGTGTGGAACATTTTTGGATAGGAAAAGTCAATTGATACAAGAAATTTTTACAAAAAAACCACTGCTAGTATAATGTTGTAATGTTATTTTTATAAATACATTTGCCTTTATAGGTGTCTTGTTTTAAAGGTGAAGCAATAATATATATCAAATAATAATCTTATGAACTGTTTAAAGTTTTTATTTTTTATTTTTTTTAGATCCAAAGATTTCATTATGGTGTAAATTACATAAAGGATGGTATAAATTACATAAAGTGTCAAGTATAAACGTCTGTGTGTTTTGTGTTGAGGAATAAATATGAATTTTTTTTATAATGTTAAAATTATTAAACGTAACACTTTTAAAAAAAAAGTTAGTGTATATTTTTAGAACGTAATATTTTAATGTAACACTTTAAAAACGTAACATTCTAATATAACATATTAAAAAAAAATTTAGTGTATTTTTTTTTAACATAACAACGTAATATTTTAAAAAAATCTCTTAATATACTTTGTTTAAACGTAACATTTTAATTAATGTAACACACAAATTCTTTGGTGTGTTTTTTTTTAAACGTAATATAACTCTTCAGTGTATTTTTTTTTTTTTTTAACGTAACATTCCAATCAAAGTTTTTGTTTTGTAGTAATGCTTAATAGGTTAAAATGGTTGAAATGGTGAGATAATCATGTTGTGAATTAAAGAATTTGATTAATGACTTGGTAATTTATTTGTGATTAAATCGGGTCTTATGATTTTAACATTTTACTTTGTGTTGGGTTGATTATAGTTGAATATAACGAAGTCATAATTTGTTAATTGTTAAAATGGGGATTTAACCATGAGATTAGGAATTTTGGGTAGTACCCTCGTTGAGTTGAAATTGAGCGGGTTACGACCTTGTTGTCCGTGGGTTGAGCTTTTGGATGAAATGGAAGAAAGGAGTCTTATTTATTTTAAATGCATGTATATATATATATATATATATATATATATATATTTGTGGAGGGTTAAGATAAGGTTACCAGTGTGGAACATTTTTGGATAGGAAAAGTCAATTCATACAAGAAATTTTTACGAAAAAACCACCGCTAGTATAATGTTGTAATGTTATTTTTATAAATACATTTATCTTTATAGGTGTCTTGTCTTAAAGGTGAAGCAATAATATATATCAAATAATGATCTTATGAACTGTTTAAAGTTTTTTATTTTTATTTTTTTTAGATCCAAAGATTTCATTCTTGTTAATTACATAAAGGATGGTATAAATTACATAAAGTGTTAAGTATAAACGTCCGTGTGTTTTGTGTTGAGGAATAAATATGAATTTTTTTTTATAATGTTGAAATTGTTAAACGCAACACTTAAAAAAAAAGTTAAGTGTACTTTTTTAGAATGTAATATTTTAATGTAACATTTTAAAAACATAACATTCTAATATAACATATTAAAAAACTATTTAGTGTATTTTTTTTAAATATAACAAAATAATATTTTAAAAAAATCTCTTAATATACTTTGTTTAAACGTAATATTTTAATTAATGTAACATACAAACCCTTTGGTGTGTTTTTTTTAAACGTATTATAACCCTTTAGTGTATTTTTTTTTTTTTTTTAATGTAACATTCCAATCAAAGTTCCTTAGTGTATTTTTTTCAAACGTAACAATTTAATATAACAATAGAAAATCATACTAATAAATATGTAGATTTTCATGCTTGATAACTAACACTTCAACTACCAATCCCTTCAAAAAGAATTTTTCACACTCACCATTTTATTCTTATCTCAAAAACAAATCAAAAAATTAAAAAAATGAATCATAAAAGAAACATTTACTTCAATTTAAATGGCACTAGATTAAATAAATATAGCTTTTTAAAATAAAAATTATTAATTGATTAATGCAAAAAATTCTTGAAACTAAATGAATTCAAATGGAATAAAACATGGTGGGCGAGTTTCATTCATCTCCCTTTAGGATAGTGATACGTGGGTTTAGCTACTCTTCCTCTCCGTTAATAAACCTTCTGGTGATGATGTAATTGTTAGAGGGAGAGAGAAGGGTTAGAGAATCTTTAATTATGCCAGTCAAAATATTTAGTTAAATTTTCACTTTAATAGTTAAGATAATTATTATTTTTAATGTACATTTTAATAGTACTCTTTATTTTAATTATCTTCTTTTAACATATTCATTTAATGCTTTTATGATAAAGAAAAAGAGAGACAAAAAAGAAAATGAGTAATGATTTGAGACTAAAAAGTAGTGAATAGTGGCCACCAAAAGTAGTTATTGCTATTCACATAATTATTTTAATTAATTTTTTTTGACTATTTCACTTGAAGATATTTTTCTTGAGTTTGACGTAGATATTTTAGCTAAATTGATAAGTTCACTTAGCTGGTTGGGATGCTCTGGGAGAAGAAAAAAAATGGTGTATAGAGATGCCATGCGGTCATATACAGTTATTTCCGTCCAAGGTACTAACAGTTTGTTTGGCATAAATTAAAAAAGTGTATTTATTTATTTATTTTTATTTTTTTAAGTCACATCACCTTTTAATTTTTTATATGTCTTTTTATAAAAAATTAAAAAATATATTTATTCAGATCATCTCGAATAATTCTTAAAGCTCAATTGGGCTAAATATCCATACAAATGAAAAACTAAATAAATAAATAAATATAGAGAAGCTTAATTGGACTAAGATTGATACAAGTGAAAATAAAAGTAAAAATAAAGAGAAAAGTTGTCAGTTGAGTTTTCAAAACATATTTATATATATATATATATATATTAAAAAAAATTTAAAATTAGTTTGACAAAAATAAATTAAAAAATGTTTTTGAATTTTTTAAAATTATTTCCATCCCAAAAAAGAAAAAAATCATATGGCAATAATGAGTGCTTTATTATTTCATTTTTTTTTACTAAATTAGTTTTCAAATTTTTTGATTTTTGATTTTCTTGTTATAATAAAATTCAATCAAATAGAAGAACCAAGCAAACAAGGTGTTTACAGTTTGTTTCGCTGCCAAATTTGCAAGGAAAATGTCATGGATCTCAAATAATCTATTAAATTTTTACCAAACTTCTTATATGGATGTGCGACTCACACACCTATGTAAGAAGTTCAGTAGAAAATTTGAAAGATTATTTGGAATTCCTAGTATCACTCAATTTGTAAATACGGCTTGTCTTCCTAAAAGTATGCCCCTCTGGCAACTTCCAGCAATCTTCCTGCGAGATGCAAAAAAAAAACTTTCGAAGCCTAAATTTGGGATTTTTATGCTTCGGAAGAGGGTTTTGAGAGCTTTTTTCCCGATTTATAATATAGATTTTTAAATTTTCGACACTTATAATGGTTTCCTCTTCTCTCAATCCTCCTTTATTAATGTGGGTGTTCATCTTCTTCAACTTTGATTTTTGACGGTGGCCGATGCACAAAAAGGCAATGGCGGCAGCGGCGGTAGGAATGACGTCAATGGTGACGACAGGGTTGGATTTTATTTAGATGCAGATCTTGTTTTTCTAGACCACATTTATGAAAAGATTGATAATTTTTTCAAACCGCAGTTGATTTTTTGACAAATTTTATAATTTGTTGTTTGTAGTTTGTAGTTTGAGACGGTTTCTTTAGTTGGTCCTTTGGGGTTTTACTATTATTTTTCTTCTTATCCTGTATAATGTTAATTTTTATTTTAATATAATTGCTTTATAACATATGTATATATATATATATTTGAAAGTATGCCTTTGCACTACTGCAACAGCATTCTATTGAGAAAATGTTGACAAGCTTCATTTTGTATTTTTTGGGGGTGATGTCCGTTTAAAAAAATGTAAACAGTTTTGCCCTAAAATACTTGGATAAATTACACTTTATCTCTTTTGTGTTTGACTATTTTTGCACTTTAGTCCTTGAGATATATATATATTACTTTGACTCTTTATGGTTTAAATTATTTCCAATTTACTCATAAAGCTAATTTTTATTCAAAATTAGATAGAAAAATACTATGTTATAAATAAATTATTATGTTAGTGTTTCAATTTGTTTTAGATGTACGACTTATAGATAATAAAATTTTTTTTATTACATGGTTGTCAATATGTTATTTATTTATTTTCTTTTTTTGGTAAAACACTAATAAATCTCAAATTTTGATATGTAAAACCATTTGGTCCCACCTTTTTTTTTATATGTAAATGTCAATTATGTTAAACCCCTTTAAGTTAGCACTAGTTTTGTATTTGGGAATGGGTAGTTGTGGGTTTTAAGTGGGGAGGCTCTATATACACATCATAAGTTGTCTCAAGGCAAACCATTTCTAAACACACACCAAAAATAATTTGAAAAATAAATATTTTTCTTATCACACACCACAAATTTATATATTTATCCATACTCACACACCAACCCCAACAATATACACACAAAGTTCCATCTTTGCCCCCACACAGCCACACACCCCATACCCATGATGTTCATCTCCCCCTCCATTCTCTATTCAAACTGGTGAACACCATTGCTAAAAACACACGTCGTCTGTGGTGTTGCTCAACACAGCTGGAACTTCACATTGGAGATTTAGTAGGTGAGTTATTATTTATTTTAGG